CGGAATTATGACAGGAGGGGGACCTTTTATGTTATTACAGCATAATTTTAAGGTTATAAAAATGATTTTTGATACACCCGTGTGTCATGTCATTGTAATTTATTCAGGAGGTTCCCCAAATTTCCCTTTTCACGGTCGTAGACACGGAGGGGTATACAAAGGATTTTAAAATATGTTTTTATGGAAATTACCTCCAATTTGTTTATTTTCTTGTGACAGTTGCTAAGCTAGAGGATGTCTGGATTGTGGAGTGGAAAATGCGTGTTCATAACCTATTTTGAATTAGTTTTTTTAATTTATTGGTTTTGTTTTTACAAGGTATAGAAAGTTATTTTTCATAACATTTCCTAATAATTAATACTTAAAATACAACAACTTACTGTATGCGAACCATTCAGAAGCGAAATCTACTATTTAATTAGTACCTGCAATAAAATAACTGTAACACTTTTTTAGTTAAATTAATGATTATAACCACTAAATCAATTGACTACGTATAAGGCATGACAGCTACTCACCGCAATGACCTCGAATCACCACAAAACACACCATTATTATTAAGACATCAATCACTTAAGAAATTTTCTCATCGATAAAGATACACAACATATCGGGTGCTCCGTTAACCATCGTTTTCGTGAAATCAGATAATGTGATCAAGTATGGCCACCAATCACATTAGACCCCATATCTGTTATATGGTTAATGGTTAATTACGACTGCCATAACAGTTAAAAAATTGACATTCCTTTATACAATGTCTTCATATGAGCCCTATACAAAAAATGTCGTAATTAATCTCCCCCCTGTCATTTTTAACTCGCGTATAATTTCTTTAAGAGAAACCTTAATATCGGCTCCGGGATATCATCACGACGTATATGGGATGCCATTAAGAGTATCGGCAGCGATAACATCAAGAATGATAGGTTTTTGGGTGGTGTTTAAGTTGTAAAACAAATACGGAGTAGGGAGGGGATTGTATGTTTTACAGTTATTTATAACTTCATTTTTATGGCGAATGATAAGTGTTTCCTTATCCTGAGTAGGTGGTCGCTGCCATTTTTCTTTTTACCGTTCATTGGTAAATCTTTATATTTACATATGACTGAATATTTTGTTTGTTTATTCAATCTTGAGTGATCTTTAATCAAGAATCTACTCAGTAGGTTAAGTGTTTATGAAAAATACCCATTTTACCAAGATTTGTGGTTAAAATCGAGGTTAATTTCAATGAATAAGTAATATTTATTATGAATACTTAAGCAAGTAATTAATAATACATAATTAATTAAATTCATACTTCAACATAACTGCGTCAAAATGCAATATTAATAAACAATTTGACTAACACATCAGCTGTTTCTAATTAAACACTAATTTGTTATCATCACATTAAAACTGACGGATTTAAATTAAAAATTCTTGATCGCTGACTCATTCCATAAATTATCTGTGCCTAAAACAAATGCCAACAAGACAACCGCAAATAAAGCTACACTAATCAGTCAAACATCACTCAATTTCCGATTTTATTTCAGAAATGGGAAGGTTCAAAATTACTTAAAGGTTTAAAGCGTAGCTTGATGTGTTGTCATTTGTACAATTTGTAAGTGTTGGCGTGATTATAGGGCCCATTAGACCGGTTCCCGAGTGAGTACACTAATAAAATATTTAAAAAAAGGTTCGATATGCAGTAGCTAACTAGACGGCTGTGTCATTCTCTTATACAGTCGTTGAGAAAAGTTTTAAATAAACGCATTTTGTATCAATATATTATGTAACTACCCGGTTTTGCTTTTTTATCTCTATATTTATTTTGTAAAATGATTGTTTGTTTAATTAATTAGTTTCATCTAAACTGTTAATGGGTAATCAGTGGCTTGTTCGTCCGCGAGTCACTTAAGGGGCCAGTAGAATACTAGTGCAAGGCCATGTCTTGCACATGCTGAACTGGTCACATTTCACGGCAGACTTGGGTCATGAACATGTATCCATCAGAACCTACTAATGGAATAACTTATTTGTACATGTTACTTTATTTTTGGCGTGAAAAAAAGTTTTTTTTTCTTTCTTTCTAATAAAAAAATATAGAAAAATATAGCCCTTTTTTATTAAACTGATTCATTAAACGAACAATTGATAAACATGGCTAGAATCTCGGGTAATTTTAAAGTTATAATGTGTTGTAATTTCTTTCGAATAAGACCGCCACAGTCGAGTAAAAACTTAATTTCTCCATCGTTATAATGATTATTTAATAGCATGTTATACTAACGTAACATTAACTCTCAAAACCCGTATAATCTTTTATCAATTACTTTAATCGCTCAAAATTTCTGCTTAATCTCTCGTCTGTCAGTGGTTTAGTAAGACGACGTAACATCACGCCTTTTTCATCCCAAAAGTAGCCACAGGCGCAATTATTAAACATAGCATCCATTTTTTATGGTTTTGTTAGAAGGCCTATTTATTGGGGGCGAACCAACTGTCGTACATCGGACTTCGTGAGATGTTTCTAAAAAGCAAATAATATTAGGTTTTCCGACAATTAAACTTTAATCCCCTTCCTCAGTTGTAAAGATATCTTCCATAGTAACACATTTTTTTAAATGACATTGTGAGTGACTGTACCACTGCAATCAGTTTAAAAGCCTAACCCCACCGTGATTAGGCGGCGCCGGGGGGCGCGGTGTAGGCGCGGCGGGGAGGGGGGATTGGTCATTAACTCATTAACGATGGCCGTCATTACACGGCTAGTGACAGTAATGACGATATTGTGCTAATGTCCTAATATTCTGAGCATTATGGTCACCCTAGCATTAATTTAGAGAAATTAATTATAACCTTGAATGTGAGATTTCTAAATTCGTGTTGTTTTTCGTTAGATTCCCGAATCGAACAAAATAGGAATACTTTTTTTTTTAATTTTTATTTTATAAAACGACTACTCCATCATAGGATACAAAAATTTAGTACATATAATAGCAATGAAAAAACTAAACCATTTAGAGGCTTAGCTTGCAGGGATATATTTGTGAAATTTTTTATAACGAAAATCATCTTTCCGAATACTTTCCAATAATTCTCAAGTCTGAATATCAATCAATAGATTAGGTAACCTTCATAACATGCGACGTTTAAGAAAAAAGGTGGTAGAAACAAGTCATTACTTCAATTCTCCTCGTTTTAATTGAAAATGATGATAACCTTTCATTTGAATATTAATTACTTGTGTCTATAAGTCAAAATTAATTAGTTTTTAATTCAATTCTGTGTGATTTAGGGCCTTGTTCGTCTAATGGTTGCTTGCGTGCGTGTACCTATTGATAAATAAAAAGTCCAAGAGTTGAAGAAAGTAGGTATAATAAGGCTTATCGAGTCTACCAGACAAAAATCGAAAATAATTGATAGATGTCTTTTAAAGAAACGTAGTTTTAATAAATACTTACACAGTAATTACCCTACTTATTTAATTTGACATTAAACATATTAATAGTGGTCCGGGAAAAACTCTTGTTCATGAGACTCATATTAAAACTGGCCAAGTGAGTGTACCTACTACGAAATACACTATCAATACATAGTATAAAACAAAGTCGCTTTCGCTGTATGTCCGTATGTATGCTTAGATCTTTAAAACTACGCAACGGATTTTGATGCGGTTTTTTTTAATAGATAGAGTGATTCTTAAGGAAGGTTTGTATGTATAATACATGCATATTACACCCGTGCGAAGCCGGGGCGGGTCGCTAGTTATGTATAAAATTTTGGTCTATGCAATTAATAACCTTTATTAATTAAGAAAGGAAATACAAATCAAAACAGATTTCCATTATAAGTAGTAAAAACCATTAATCATCAACGAAAAAGCGTTTTCACAAACAAAATTGAATCGAAGTCATAAAGATGGATCGTCTTCAAGCCAAATTAAGTTATTACACGATATTTCTTATTTCGTTACATTGAATGCTCCAATGCGACGGACGCCATATTTGGCGAGTAATGGAGGTTGGGTAAAAAAGCGGGAAAGACATTTTATGTAATAAAACCTTTTTCGGATATTTAGAAACGAAAATGTTGTTGTTTTGTTAATAATTATAAAAGGTTTTTTATTATTATGTGATAAATTAATGGTTTTACGTAAGTATTATTAGTTAACAGTAATCATCGTCTACGTGGACTCAGTTACAATATTGCTAATTTGTAAAATGTAGTTAATGCTCATTAACAGCTGGAAGCTGTCTCTTAGGACTTGCACATACAGCCTATCTTTTGATGATTGATACTCGATTAGTATTAATAAAATTCGTAAACGCAATCACGTCAGTGACATAATCTTTAAATGGCAATTTAATAAAATTCTGTTGCTCTTAAAGCCTCCTATAAAAACATCTTCATTAAACGATTTCACGTAATCGTGACATAAAGAAGAACATACATAAATTGCTGAAAATAAATGTTAAATACTGAATTACGTTTATGGAACGATTTCTGTCGTAAATCATTTTAAAAGGTTGAGAAAGATTTGCAGTGGGTTCATGTCAAAGATTTCTCATCGAATGATTTATAACCTCAAAAATACTAAACGTCAGATGAGCAATGCTTATTTAATTGTGAGATATTATCTGTGGGAAGTATCGAGTATTCTGCCTGAGGTGTTGCCATGTTAAAATTCAATTCACATTTCGCGCGCTGTCATTTATTTTTATTTTGATTATCTCAAAATCTTCGTGTGGATGGTTGATTCTTTTATTGAAATTGACAGATGTTTTTTTGTTTGTTTTATATATTACGATAAAAATTAAATTAATGTCATTAGCTGTAGGTGCCTAAAATATTTTGTATGGTCGTTGATTTTTACACAGTTCATTTTTTTACGATCATCTCACTGATATTACTTATTTAGTACCTGGTTTTCTGATTTCCTCATAATGTAAATAATTCAAAAATATGTCTTTATTGACATTTTTAACACTATTCTTATTTTTTGTTCTCAGGAAACAATGCGGATCGTCAAGGTCGCCAGGTGGATCAAAAATCGAACCAATGGTTTGGTGCGACGCTGACCAGTACTGGCAGGAATGGTGCTATCATGGTGAGTCAGAATTTTTTGCTTTTATTGACTTATTGGTTGGGGTAGCTTTTTACAAAGCCAACAAGAAAATGTTGGTCTATTAGGCAGTTAAAGTTAAACTCATGTGCTGGCTAACATAATTAGTAAAATTTTCAGAATACTTTATCCATCGTCGTTAAAACGCATGTGCCTTTTACTTCTGATCATAGAATAGTAGGTATCAAATTATGTTTTCTCAGCGACTAAAATCATAGAACCAATCAGCATTCTTCATTACCTAACTTCATTCCCCGATGAGCAATAGCTAATTTCGCGATTGCTCCGATTGCGCTGTATCCCGCCCATCAACAAGAACCTAGTCGTCAACAAAATCACATACATACTTAAATAATTCTATCGATAACACCTCACCACAGCTTTAGTTTCACAACAAACGAAATCTCAGCATTATTTTCTTTACGAGCTTGAGCGATTCCATGACCTCATACACCGGTGACCTATAAAGCTGATGGGATGTCTTGACAGGCACACCCTTCCTGCCCTGCCCTGTCCTCAAGGTGTTCAGCCGTAATGATCGTTCTATCTTTTGTTATCGCGTCTATAAGTCCACCTATGTGACGTCATTGTGTTTCATGTGATTCGATGTTGTTGCTCTTTGCGATTTGATTGGGAATGTGAGGTTTTTGTACCCTGAGTGTGTTGATGGCCGAGTTAAATATCTCCTGCTCATCACTGCTCCTATTCTCCTCATGGGTATCGTAAGAACCGGGAAAGGGACTGCACAGTTAATTGTCATTCTACATAATATACTATATTGAATATCAAAGATTGGTAATAAAAACATAAATTGTTAATTGCTGTTGGAACCTGGATCGAAGTCGTACAGCAATGAGGAAATGCCTCCTAACAAAGGAAATGCCTCCTATAAAATCAAAATATGTATAAAGCCAAACTTCATACAAACCTGACAGCTCCTAAAATGTATACTGCTGTTAAGACAATAGCCACGAAGGAGGCTCCATCAATCTCGGCACCCTATTGTTGACATTTGGCAAGTGGGTCAGTCCAAGGCCTCATCGCTATAGGGTTGAACACCATTAGGTTATGGGGTCGTCTTTATGGTTTGTGGACGTAGTGGCTATCTGTGGGGCGAAATTGGGTTTCAGGGTTATGTAGGACGGATTTCTTGGTCGGCTTGTGCTTCATTCGAATCTTTCTAAAACAGCTAATGGTCAATAAACTTTGGTCTTTTACCACTCGTTTTTGTGTCTTTATCTGGGTTCAGAACGTGGAAAATCGCTTAATGATGGATTAATATATGTAGATTATTGTTTCTTTATTCCCTGTACTTGTTATAATATCGTACCTCCGTCACTTATGTATTGCGGAGGCCCGGGCACAACTGAACAATGAAACGTTTTTTCTCCTAGTGCCGTCCAGATTAGTGCCAAAACCGTAACGACAGTAATGCCCTCACAATGTCAGTTTGCTTACTACACAAATGACAATAAATAACGCACCAAGTAAAGAGGTGAATTTGGAGTATTCTTTCATCAGTTAAGGTTTGACAAAAAATGCATAAGTGACGGTATTGTACCGTAGGTGCGATATAGTTCCATTTCAATGAAATAAACATAAAATACAACTGTCTGATAGCCTCACTGTTCCATAAGTAGCAGTTCCTGACAAATGTTATTACTTTCCCGAAAAGCAGCAGTAGCCCATACTACATTACTTAACATAAAATCAGTCATTCAATTCGAAGTGCAGCATCTGACGGTGCGGCCATATTAATTCAAATGAAGTGCAACCGTTTACCGCACACATGTTGCAAATAAAATTTCATTACTCACGCACTTCGCACGAACACTGCGGCTCGGTTTCAGAACTTTTTTCCCAAGTCCATATTTGAAATCAGTCAGGAGACGCCTTCGTCGAAGACCTGAGACCACATAGTTTTTGTCTCTCTATTTAAGGAGTTGGAATTTTTATTTCGGAATGCCGAATTAGTGCAAAAAGCCGACTCCCTCGACGAGCCAGCAATTTGTTTAGGCATTTTGTTCCATTTGCTGTGGGGACAGAAACGCGATGGGAATTTATAATTGTTCGAACGCATAGGCTGTATCTATAGTTGTCTGTGCCTTTATCAACAGTGATGTGTCGTGTGCATTCAGTTAGTCGTTTTTAAAATATGGAATAAGAATTGATTTTGTTTCGTTGTTCGAAATTCAAATGAGTTTTATTATAAAATTCATAACAGTATTTTGATGACAAGAAAGTATTAGAATACTAAAATTAGAAAGTAATAGATAAGATTCCAATAAATATCAATTAAAATACTCATTAAATGGCGACCACTGCAGTTTTACGAGAAGCGTTTTAATGCTAAATTGTTTTTATGTTTCTATTTAACGGAAATTGCAGAAGTTTCATTTACATTTCATAGCATAACCGACTAATATCTTGAGGAGCAAGTGCAATCAAAATGTACTTTAATAAAAGGTAAAGTCGGTATAAACATAATTATTTTTATATCTGTTAGTTTCCGCCTCCTTTCATTAGTTATCCTCTTATCGTTAATTTGTATTTAATGGTGGAAATGGTATCTTCTGAAAGCATCCTTTAGAATATTCAAAAATTAAAATTAATACCAAATTTACCAAAGAAAATACAAGAAATATAGAAATAATCCCTTCTATTCAATTTTATTTCTTTACTTTCTATCGTAATATTTATCGATTTATAATTACATCGTCATCGTCACATCACTAAGTTTTTGTCCTGGCCCTAACTATTGTAATAAAACTCGCTGAGTACTCACTTAGCAGTTGTTTGTCGAGTGAATTGTTTTCTTATTTGTATCGATTGAATACTAAGTCGATTCGTTTTTATTCTCGATACGTTTTCTCACGATTAAACGAGCGCCACTTGATTTTTTAATCGGTTGCATTTAGCGATGAAAGAACTTTGTTGTGTCTTTTTGTTTTGTTTTTGTTGAATGTAGTTAAAGAAAATTATTTAGTTTTGGGTAAAACATGACCCTTCTCTATAGTCTAGAAAATTAAAAGTGTTTTAGGTTCTCTTTGGTTACCGCTCTTAAAGTACAGGGTGAGTGATAGAAATCAAATACTGAAATGTGTAATTTAAAGCAATTTTCTTAATAGGTACATGTTATTGAAATACTGTAGTTCCTTTATTAGTTTACAAATGTAACGTCCTAGTAAGAAAATCGCAAATGTAAAATTCAAGATGTCGGCTTCGGCCTCATGATAGCATGCATCTAAACCAGCAAGTTTTACGTATATTTAATTATAAGAGAAACTACTTATATTTTGCTAAAATTGTGCAACTGTTAATCTACAAATTCATACAAAGTAATCTCAATATAATAAACTAAAAGCCTACCGGATAAATCATACATAAACGTACACAATAACTTGTTATAATTGCAAATAAATTTCCAAAGATAAGTCTCAGGATATCGTGGTTACGTTACACGGGCTCATGGCGCGACATACGCGTGCGCAGTAAACAGTTAAACATAGATTAATTATTGCGACAGATATGAGCTGTATTTCATTGCGAATTGATTGTATCTGCGACTCATTTGTTAAGGAGTTTCATTGGTTAGGTTAAAGGCATATGCACAAAGATTATCTTCTTGCGGATTGTAAAGAGATGATTTTAAGTGCTTGTTTGATCATGTCATAAAATGTCTATCGTACATAGACAGATATTTACATTTAGCCATTTGTTCTTTGATGTGTTACAGGTACCTATGTGTTATCGTGTCTGCGTTAGTTAGTCTTTGGCAACTATGTCTTTTTTGGCCACTAACTAAAATAGATGCGATTTTTCAGTTGTACTAAATACTTACATCGCATTTTTTTAAGACTTCTTTTGTTAGATGATTTATCCATCTTGCTTATTAAAAACATATACACGAAAAATTCTTGTTAACTATAAAATTGACATTTATTTATTCGTTCATAATAAATTTGTATTATAAAGGAGACTGTTATTAGTGCCGAAGCACATCTTCACATCGTGTTTGGCATAAATGTATCTAGTTAAAACTTGAGCAGAATTCATTTAATTGTCTTATTTTCCAACGACGGTGGTCTGAAGCCGACAGCTGAGTACCAATTTAGAATATAGAAAGTGAAAATAGTCATACTGTTTTGAACAACAGTTCAGATCTCTTCAGGTCAGTGGCACAATTATCAAAATATTTCTAAATTAAACTATATTTTACAATTTTCCAACACCCTCTACTTACTCAAAGTTTTTGAGCTAACAAATTGTCCGGTGATTTGTCAGCGTCGAATGCCTCGGTTCTTGTTGCGCGCGCAGGTCCTAATATGGCTGCCGTCGCTTGACAGCTACACCCGTCCGATTTGGACTCACATCGCCATATAGAGATTGTTTCTTTTATTGTCTCCATTTGCTGAGAATTTTTATGGGAAATTTCGGCGTGTTTTCTTTATTTTCCTTAAATATTTTTTCGCTACCGAATTTGTCTTTCACGTCGGTAGTTTGCTATGCTTAAATGTGAGGGCTTTGCTTTACAATTCTGATCAACTAAAAGGACTCGAAAAGTATTTAAAAACAGACTATACGAAAAGTTATGTTTGTTTTTTGATAAAAATAAACGATTATCCATAGATCACAGATCCACATTGAACTTTGCCAAATAAGGAAACATGTTGGTCCAAGATAAGTTCCTTGCGGAAACCCTTAAATAAGCAAAAAATGTAAGCAAAAGACTAACTATCAGGATATTGAAACTTAGAAACAAAAGACACTGGGATTTATACAGCTGACATTACTTTTAAAGATAAGATAAGTTATGTTGGTACAAAGTTAGCAAAGGCCTAAGAAAAGGCTGAACAAGATGAATCGCTTTGCCAGCCTCTACTTAATCGAGGTTGTATGTGCAATCGCTGAGTTGAAACTTCTTGTTTACGTACTTAGGCCAAGGATTACTTATTGAATTTTTAATAAACTATTAACTTTTTTAA